GTATAGATCTAAAATTCTCCTGTTCCAAAACTTATCTTTGCTCTTTAGTAATATTTAAATAAGTGATAGTAATTCATATCCTTATAAGTCATTGAAGTAGAGATGAAATGAAATTTTAGTAACTATTTTTAAACAGTCTCTTATTCCCTTGTACCAACTTTGAATAACTTTCAAATCACGTTTGGTATCACATTATTGACATCGTTTGTTGTTTCTAAGGTATTACTTAAATAAATTCCAACAATTGTTTGTAGACATTTTTTGCTGGACAATATTTTCTGTTCTTTAAGAGATAGATCTTAAAATTTAGCATTTTAGATGATGACACCCTGTAAGCATTGGTATAGTAATAATTATAAACATTCAATGACTGGGTACTAAGGTACATGTTAAAGACTCCTTTTTCTATCTCAACTTTCTTAAATTGTTTTTGTTTTACATACATAAATTAAAAGTACAAGCTGTCAATATCACATTAAATTATAATATATTGCAAAATAAAGTTGAATTACAACAATAATTACGAGTATAAATTTACAGAGGTCAGTAAGTCAGATGTTAGATACTGTACAAATAAAATAATTTATCATTTTTATGAAACTGTCAGTATTAATTAATTTAATGAATTGCTACTGGACGAACATTTTTAAAAAGGACACTACTTCTTTAACTTTAAAAAAAATACTTAAAGCGAATCAACATATTTCTGATCTGGAAGTCAAATTACAGGAACATACTACCGACAGGAAATTGGTCTCTTCATCTTGCAATAAGTTGTTTTTAGTTCGATCTTCCTAGTAAATTAATTAAATTTAAAAATTTTATTAATTATTTACATAGACACCATAAATATGAATACAATTCTATTCTGACTGAAAAGAGACCTTAGACCTTTTTAGTAACGGCGTCACATACGCCAAATAATAGACAAACCCTTAGTGCACATTGTCATGAAGAATTTTCTAATATTTTTACCAGATCGATTTTCAACCATATTTACTTTAGACATAAGTGCCAAAAAAATTTTTTTCTTATTATTACTCTAAATATCGCGATATTTTGGTAATAAGTATTAGAAATATTCAAGAAGCTTCAAACCCCAAGTGACAAACTAAAAGAATTATAGATAGTCCAAGCGGTATCTGTTTTAAAAAGGGTATACTTGAGTAAAACGCATATGATCGGAGATTTTTGCTTTAACGGCTTCTAAATAACATCAGAAATGATAATTTTTCTATGCAAATAAAAAAAACGTGGGCTTAATTGTTATTGCAAAAAAGTATAAAAAATAGCAAAAAAACTCATTTTTTTCTTGGATTTCTCATCGACAACTTAGCAACTATTCATTTTGGACAAAAATGGAAGAGGAAAAAAAGTTTTGTAATTAAATTTTGATCAAGATAGAGTTAGTTACAATTCGAAGAAATGTTTTTACATAATAATTGTTTTTTTTTAATTAAAAATTTTCAAAATCAGATTTCTAAAAATCTAAAGCCTTTGAATACTTGAAACCAAAAAAAGAAGAGCTCTCAAGCTTTAAAATGATTTTTGAAAAATTCAAATCGGACAATTAGGTGAGCCGTGGTGATTGTTTAAACATTTTCGCAATTTTCACGCTTACAAAGAATTGCAATAATTTAATGTTTTTTCAATTTTTTTTTTAATTTTAAAATATGGTTTGAAAGTACTCTGAAAGACGAGTAAATATATAAGATCCACTTCTTATTTGTGGAAGGGCGAAATCGGCGGTGACTATTAGACGCCTTCATTATAGCCATCTTTTTCTATCGCACGGATTTCTATGACTTACTTTATCGCTCTCACGTAACGGCCGATGAACCATGGGGACTTTCCGACCCTGTATACTACCTTATACAGTGTGATAATAAATTGTCTTCATAGGGTTACATAAAAAAGGGGATGGTACATTATCATGTTTTAGCGACATGATAAAAGTACTTAAATATGTCATTCATATTTTAAATTTTGATTTAGGACAACTGAACACTAATTTATGCGGTTAGTCAGATCTTACGTCTTGTGTGAGGGACAGTTTTAGGGGTGATTGGCACCATATTATTTTCATTTTTTATTTTTTACCTAAATTTTTTCAATTCCAGAAAACTATTGATCTCTATACCATTAGATAATGTCTTTTTTTAAATAATATTAACCGTTTTGAAAAATTCAGTGCAACGCAAAATTTCATAACGTCAATCACAAGTAGGATTTGAAATACATCTTTCGAAAAATAAAACAAGTTCGCTAATGTGTTATTAAAATTTCGGAGATAATTTTTCTTTTTTTTTTCAAAATTAGAAAATGTTGAGCAACCACGTTTTGGGATATAACATCGCGATAAATTAATTCATATAGAACAGTAGAAAATTTCATTTACGCCGTCATCAACAGAATTCTTTCATTTAATGAATATTATAGAGATTAAAAAATTATTTATATCATATCATTCTATATATAAATTCTATGAAATGGCGAATGCGCAGAGCGTCGAGAGATAAATTGCAAATTTTCGTTTTTCATATTTTTGTTTATCTAGAAGTTTCAGTTAGAACGGTGTTAGAATAACAATATCAGTTTTATGCTACTCAAAATAAGTTTTAAAAGTTTTTGCAACGAAAACTAAAATATTCCTTGTACTGAAAAATCTAATGAATGAAACTAGACCAATTTAATCTATTTTTTACATTCAATTTAGGAACATAACGTTAGCTAAAATAATTTATGATTTTCAGTGCCTCATTTTAAGTTACTGAAAGCAAAAGTTTTGAGAGCTGAATTTTATTTAAAATGAAGAAAGATAAATTGTGGGTTCCTATTTTTCCTTGAATTATAGAGCATTTCCTTTATTTTTTTATATTTATACTAAAAATGATTAGAATTTTTTACATCCTTTAACTATGATAAAAAAATAATTCCCTGAAACATCACTGCTTACTTATTTAAAATTCTTAAACAATATGTTTTTACCTTGCAACATATACAGGGTGTAACATAAAGGTTGGGAATAAATTAAACAGTGGATTTTTTATTTTAAAAAATAAATGTTTGTCATATAAAATTATGCTCTACGGGTTTTCTTTTCCAAGCTACAGGGTGTTAAAAAATTTCAAAAAATTTAGTTTTTTAATATCATTTTCAATGCAAAAATCTTTTTTCAATGCCTATTTGACTATGTTCGGTGGCTGAGTCAAAGCGTACTTCATAACGCTTTTGTTATTTTTATGTTCCTCTGTTAGCAGTGGGATAAAATGGTATTTACAAAAGTTTTATTTACGGAAAAATTACAAGAGCTAGAAATAAAACGCAAGAGGGTAATCTTGTTTAAAATAAAAAGTAGATCATAAACAAATATTAAAAAGATGTTTTTACCAGTGGCGTACCACAATTTTCTTCGAAAAACCTTATGGTACAATCCGTACGCGCGCCACTGAGTAACTTACAAAGTCAATTTTTTTCCTGTAACTAGGGGATTATCAAATTAAGCTAAGGCTAAAATTTTGTTCCATTATCTTATAATGTTCGAAATTTATTGGAGAAAAACTAAATTTTTTGAAACTTTTTAGCGCCCCGTAGCTTGGAAAAGAAAACCCGTAGAGCATAACTTCATATGAGAAAAAATTATTTTTTAAACCAAATAATCCACTATTTAATTTATTCCCAACCTTTAAGTTACACCCAGTATATATTTAACATTACCTGCTTCTGTTTTAATATTCCCGCCAAATTTATGCGTTGTTACGATATTGCGCAACGATCTGTACTACCCAAATTAAACAATTTTAATACAAGTCTAAAGTTACTAAAGTTACTTAAGTACTTTTATATACCAAGAAATAAAATTGCGAAACTGAATTAATAAAATTTGGACACCACGAAATTTTAGTTGTACATGAACTTTTTTCAAAGTTAATCTAAATAAAGTGAGTTTAGATACTGTAGGTACCTACTTAATAGCAAAACTCCTGTACCTACAGAAAAATTGTATCTAAATTGTAAAATATCTAAATTACATCCTTTACCTGTGAGTCAATTAAAAAAAAGTTATTTTGGTGGCAGATTACTTTTAGTACACTTACTATTATCTATAAATATACTCAAAATAATTTAAATTTGGCTCACACACGAATCATTTTTTGACATATTCGAAATTTTATTTTTGGAAATTGAATATAATAATAATAACTAATAAAATATGGTAATTAGTATCGAATAAAGAAAACTTTATGCTTATAATATTTGTTTTTCAAATACGAAACCGTTTAAACAAAATTCTACTCTCAATAATTGTCGTTCGAAATTGACCTTTTAACCTTTATTCAGACTTTGCTCTTATCATTCCGTTGAAGTTTTCTTAAAGTAAATATAAATTACATATTTTTATAATGCTGAATACTTAATTATTTTCTTTTAAACATGACTTAAGTATATGATTTATAAAGATCGATTTGTCGTGTATAAAACGCGAAAAACGGCAAAACAAAGCTATTTCTTTAAAAGTAAATATGCTTTTAGTAATTACCATGAACTATTTCAATAATTGATCAACGGAAAGTTCTTTAACGAAATAGTTTCGAACTGTTGCATAAATGTATTAAAAATACTTAAGAAAGCAAAATATGAAGTGGTAACAAGTAACTCATTATTTGTAAAAATAAATAGGAATAAAATAGACGCCAAATTATTTCAAATATTATAGAATCAAACACATACGCTATTAGTTGTTCCCTAGTTTGTGGAAATGTATTTGATATAGACTGCAATTAAAATAATATGGCGCTACATGTGGGTCCTTACATCATCACTACGTGTCAGTACGGTTCAAATCGACTACCAACCAAAATTATTTAAAAACGCAACATATAATCCAGACACCGGTGCGAAAATGCAAACAAAGCACGCTTAAAAAAGGATAACGGATAACTAAAGTTAAACACAACAACTATAAAATAATCTATGTATATAAAATTTTATCAACTCACCGTATGTTCGTTGATAATCTGCTTTTGTTGTCATATCGTCCTTATCAAGCACTATCAACTGTTCGTAACTAGTAACTTTTGTATATTATACACCACTAACAGTCTTGCCGAGAGCTGGAGAGAGATCAGACAGCTTTAGGCAGTCTTGGCAACTTAAGGCACCCTAAGGGGGGGAAAGAGTGCTTAATAGTGGTGGGGGGGCAACGCCTCGTTTTTATTTGTGTTATTCTTTGGGACCGCGATCCATCTTAGTTGTGGATTAATTGGTTTAGGAGCCAATTTTGTTGGATGTCTATAAGTAAGTCTCATTGTGTCTTTAATATGGAGGTAGCTTAGCGCGATACTCCATTTTATAAAAGATTCGGTTAGAAATTCGCTAAGGTTTATAACAGAAACTTGAAAGCAAATTTACTTTTGTAGTAATACGTGTCTATGTATGCGTTTGATATATTTACTAAACAAATTTGTAATAAACATTTAATATGTAGATGATTTGTATTTATTTAATTTAAACGTTGTGGAAGTTTGGAACTGTAGTTAATGCATATTAATCAAAAAATGCTTATTCAATATTCTGGAAAGTTTCTTAAAATTTTTAATTTGCAGCAAAGTTTATAAGAAAAAGAAAATAAATGTAAATAACAAATTCTATTCATTCTTTTGAAAATTTTAAGGTTCATAAATATTTATATTATTTTGATTTCACATAAAAAGTTGGTAGGTATAGAAAAATGTGTCTAATTTTATGAAACAAATTCAAAAATTAATTAATGAAACTCCTTTACCAGAGAATCAGTCAAGTTTAGTTCTAGTACGTTGTTTTCTGTTAATAATTGAAAACTCACAACATAAAAAATAAGTTATTTTTAACAGTGTTTTTCTTTACAATTTACACCTGTTTTCGTTTCGGTTTGGTCGATTCAAAATATTTAATTGCTATTTGAAGAGGTATTTCATTTTTTAGTTTTGCACTTAAAATATTGAAAAGTTTCATTTCTAATTAATAAAAATTGCATACATTCAATATAAAGAAAATTTGAAATACCTAATGTTTAACACACAATATTGTGATCTGCAAGTTTGTATTTATTTAATAATAGATAAACGATTTGTATCTTATTTACTACTGAGTAGGCAAATGTTAGATATTTAAAGTTTAAATAGTAAATTTTATTTAATTTAAGGTTATATACTTAAATACACACATTTAACAAACCCTGGAAATATTGAAAATATTTAAGAAACTCGAATTAAAAACACTTGAAAAACTTATTTAATTATGTTTCCAGATATCTTTTGCTGGATATATCTCAATGAATTAATAAATATATTGTATTGTTATTTTTTATTAGTCGTGTTATTTAATTTGTTTATATAATTTATGTTTATGTATCTTTGGATATCTCAACTTGTCAAATGGGAATATCTACTTACCTTCAATTGCTTAAGACAGTAGACACTATTCTCAGTGAAATTTATATTTCTCTTTATCACAATAAATTATTCTTGAATATAATTTTGGTTAATATGAATATCTAGTTATTTTTTTAAATTAAAATTCTTCAAAAACAAAAGAAATTTGAAAGTAATAATTTTCTATAGAATGTAAACAAAAAGTATTCTATTATCCCTAGGGGTGGTTCTTTAGAAGAAGCTATCACTGAATGAAATCCTGCTTTTAAAAAATTTTATATTAATTTTGAAACTGATTTTTTTTTATTTGACACAATTTAAATAAAATTATAATTTTCCTACGCAACCTACGCCAATACTATTTACTAATTACCTTATTTCTAATTACAATTATCGATCAAATGTCTTACACTAATTTTCCAATTTTGGACAGTTTCTATCCTTCCGTTCACTTTTTGTGCTCCTGTTTCGGTTTTTCTATACCTATTTCTACTTCAATTCTCTTACTGACTGCTATGCTCCATGAATACACTTGCTACCATGTATCGGCTCCTCTATATTACATCTGGTATTTGGTTTGATCTTGGGTATCTGGTCTTCCACAGAAGACTATCTTCTGGGAAATATTGAAATATTAATGTTTGTCAATGCTTTACCTTTTTCAATTCCTGTTAATGTATCAATTTATGTCTTCTTTATTTATTTCGGAACCTTTTTATTTTTTAAATTCTCCTTTCTTAGTATTTCTCTCAACTTTTATGATTCTAATTCTCCTTCCTTCAAATTTTCGAAAATCAACTAACTCCCCTTTTTTTTTCTTTTTCTCCTTAGTAACCGCACTTCTGTTTTCACATTTTAATTTTTTATTGCTCACTATTTACTTAACTTAATACTATTTTACAATACTTCCACATGAAAAAAAAATCAATTCAATTTTATCATTACATTTTAATTTTATGACAAGCGACTTCTGTCAGATATTTTCTTCTTTCAATTTTACCCCTTTCTAATATGCAATTTTGAATACATTTCATTTCCATACATCTCAATATATCTCAATGAATTACTTAATAAAATTAAATTAAATTAAGAAACTAAAAATTAAAATATAATAAAAAAATTTAATTTTTTTTATTTAAAACGGCAGAAAGAGTTCTCTATAACTAAAAAGAAATATTTAATAGTTTTTTAACCAAATTTCAATATAAAAGCAACCTAAAAACCTAACTCAGAAAAACATAATTTTGCAAATTCTAATAAAAGAAGATACTCAATCTCTGAGACTTTGGTCTTTGTCTTTATTATCTTCCTTTAAAAACGGAAATAGTCTCATAATAGTTAAATAATAATATTAATGATAATTAAAATAACGTTTAAATGTTATTTTTTTAATATATTTTTTTATAGAGACAAACATAGTTATTAGAAGCTTTTGTATCCCAGATTTTAACAAAAATTAATTTTTCCAAATTGTTTCGTTTTCCCCAATGTTTCTAGGAATAAAAACAGTTTTTTTAGACTTCTGCTTATGTACAACTAAAAGATAAGGCAACTATTTCAATGTTGTACTGAAGAAAATAAGTACTTAAATTTTTTAAACAATTCCCAGGTTGATTTTCAAAACACATTTTTGATGCATACATTTTTAATGCTGTTTGTTAGAAAAATGATTCCAGTGCAGTATAAGATTTTTAAGTAAAGCGTGGATATAGACATGGATATACAAATAACTTATTAAATGGGTATTTGCTTTTCCAAATTAAATATATAGACGACGAATCAAAGCTTGTAACTTGAATATTTGCTCCAAGAAAAGTTCAATTAACGATAAGAGCAAAGTCTGAATAAAGGTTAAAAGGTCAATTTCTCATGAAAGTTCTTATTGAAAGTAGAAGTTTGTTCAAATGGTTCTGTATTTAAAAAGCAAATAGTTTATTTAACTTTACGTAGGTTTTGTAATGTTACTCTAATTATTCATATTTATTTTTGGAACAAAGGATAATGAGTAACATAATTGAATATTTATGTAGAACGTGAACAACTGAAATAGGGTTTCGTGTTATTAATTATATATATGCTGCTGCTGGAAAAAATAAAGGGAACAATTCACGATTCACAATTTTTTAGTGATTTTTGAAATGCTGTATGAAATGGTCGTGTCAAGATAAGAAAAAAACATTTTGAAACTGTAAGTCTCTAGTGACAAGATCTTTTGACAAAAAACTTTTTTGAGCTACGGTTATCGAGCAATCAAAATTTCCAAAATTTTTTTTTTTTAGGACTATCCACGGACGGAAAAATTTTTTCGAACTTTAATTTAACTTTAATTAACTTTAATGAAAAGCTATCATGGTTTTCGAAGAAAAAAAATGTTTCTTCCTAGAAATACTTTTTACGTTTTTTTTAGAAAATCTACCTCTAATTTACAAATATTTATGAAAAGACTAATGTTGAGAGAAATTTTTACAGCTGAATGTACCCGGAATAACCCTATAAATTGCCAAGCTGATCCATCTAATCCTAACCGTTTTTCTGTTCTAAACGATCAAAGTTTTATAAAGAAAGAAACACGTTCATTGCCGCTAAACATTACGTAATTGTTATCAAAATGAAAAAGAAGAATTTATCTCGAATTTTCCCACAATTTTACAATAGATGTAGTTTAAATTTAATACAAAAAAATTCACTTTTCCAAAAAAAAAAATTTTTCGAAAGTATTTTTTTTTCTAAAATTTAAACGATATGTTAAATTATGGGAAAAATTATTTTATTTTAATTACATCATGTCTAGGAGCAATAAACGTATTCCTTTAATGTATTCCACTCTCATTTGGAAGAGAAAAACGGTTTGATGGATCAACAACTCAATTTACAGGGTTATTATGGTACTTTGAGCTGTAAAACTTTCTCTCGACTATAGCCTTTTCATCAATATTTATATCAATATTTGTATTTGTCATTTTTTGCAATTTTTTCAAATTAATGTCAAGCATTTACTGTGAGATAATTTCTTGCTGAAATATCAATGTTTAAAGACAAAGGTTTCATTTTTCATTCAACCATCAATATTTCGGTAATCAATACTCGTACGCAGACCTTTCAAAAAGAGAATTGGAACTAAATAAACAAGCATTGATTGAGTTCGAAAAAAGTTTCCTAAGTACGTGGACGGTCCTAAAAAAAATTAAAACTTTTTTCTCAAGGTAAGTATTTCTTTTGATTGCTTGTTAACCATACTTCAAAAAAATTGTTTGTCAAAAAATCTTGAAACTAGAGATCTAAACCTTTATATCGACAAGACCATTTTTCACTGAGATACAGCCCTTCAAAAATCGCTAAAAAAATTACGAATTTTTTTTCCCTTAATTTTTTCCAGTAGTTTTTATATATACATATACATATCTCATACTTGGGGATGTAATCTAAATAGTATGCCATATCTTAACGTTTAAAATGATAAATAACTGATTGCTTTGCTGAGAAATAGATGTTAATTAGAATATTTCAATAAAGTCTAGGTAACTGCCTTGGTATTCGTAATAATAAAATAATACAGACAATCTTAAACTCATTTGGATTAGTCCTGATAATAATGTTTAAACAATGAACGAACTGTTTAAACAATTTAATTCCTGTCAAAATGTATTGACATTGAATTAGTATTGGAGCTAAAGAAATGTATTTAGCATTAAGGAGGTGCATTTTAATTATTCAGCTTAAAATAATATTAAAATATATATTTTTTTAATAAAAAATGAAAAACCTTTATATGTAATACTTTTTCGAAACCTATCTAAGTAATTGTTGTGCATAAATCTATATTTAAGTTTATAATAACTTATTTGTAGTACATTATATTGCAATTATATTTCACGTTATGCAACT